GTTCATCTCTAGGGTTTCCTGCAGATTTTGAAAGCAGAGGTTTTGAAAGGCAGCTGATTCTCAAAGAGAGTGAGCAGCTGGCATACACTGCCATGACAATCATTCAATTTAGCATTAATGTTCTAAAAGAAAAGTAGGAAAACGATCCAGCAGACAACATCATATTAATGTTTTTAAGGAGTTTTGAAGAATTTTTGCAAGCTTTTTGAATGATATTTAAAATTATATTCCTTAAAGAAACACTGATTTTATAAGACAGGAGAGAAGTGGGTTAGCGTCAATAGAAAATCCAGTTAATGTCTACACTTAAGTTGTTGCTGTTTTGACTTATATACTAACCCATAATCTGCCATTCTCAACTTTAAAAATGTTTTTGCCATGGCCATAAACACAATGTGAAGGAAATATAGGCCGGATCAGGATTCTGTAAGTTGTATAACATACCTTATAAGTTGGTTTGTGAAGAATTGTTTCCGGACTGTGCCCCCTTTTCAAATGTGCCAGCACACACACTCCATAGCCATATTGCCCCCCCCCCAAAAAATGGCTGTGCTAAACCACTGTCTGGGTGGATTACAACATAATTATGCAAATAACACTTTGCTTCCCCCCGCGCCTTCCGCCTGCCACAAGCTAGGTACCTACTGGCTCCGACTAGCACAAAGTTAGAAAGGAATGAATGCTCCATCTAGACAAGCACTCAGTTAAAGGAAGGTAATGCCATTTTGCTGGGAATTGATTCAGTTAAACACACTTCAGACTCACAAATCAAAGGTGTTGCTCATGGCATCACCATTGGAACTTAATCAGAGCTTAGAAAAGTTCCTCTTTGGATTACAGCTCCCCAAAACCCCTAGATTGTGTGGCCACACTGGCTGAAGGGCTTTGAGAGCTTTCATCCAACATAGGTAGCTGGGTGAGAGAGGATACCTGGATGCAGAGTCACCTGCCTCTTGTCTTTCCACCATCAGGCGAAGACCTTCCTCTTCTAGCAAGCTTTTGAGCAGTAAGTTGTCTCAGGAATGCTGGCTTTTAACTTACAGATTTGTGAATTGTTTTAAATGGTTCTTAAACTAGATTTTTAAAAATCTAAATGTGTTTGTTTTTAAAATATGATATTTATATAGCATTTTTCAATCTATTGTGAGCCACCTTGGGTACCCTATGGGGACAAACATGGCATATAGAATGAATGAATGAATTTATCTTTTAATAGTTAACTTATTGTGTTTTTAAATTGTGTGAATTTTAATGTTGTGAGCCACTTTGGGTCCCTTGTTGAGAGAGATGCGGCAAACAAACAAACGATGAGGTTTGATTCCTTGTTGTGCATCCCAAGAGAAAACCCAGCCTACGTGGCCTTAGGGAAACTGCACAGTCTGAGGGCACCCCCAAAGGAGCGGTAAACCACTTCTGAGTACTCTCTACCTAGAAAACCCTGGAAAGGATTGCCACAGTAAGTCAGGCAGGACTGCAGCTTTAAGCTTTGTTTGCATTAGCTAATGAAACATGAAAGAAGATCCCAGTACAAACCTGGTTTAAATAAGGAAAGAAATCTAGGACCTTGAAGTTTCCAGTGTCCTTCAGATGAGTCCGAAAACAAATGTAAATTTTGTTTACATTTTTTTTAAAAAAACTGTTCTACCTGTACATCTATAGATGTGAATTAGTATACTCAGGTTCCATGCACATCAGTGGCCTCTTTTGCCTTCTCCGTTGGTGATGTGTAAGTGGCAGTCTAATGGGGAAGCCACAAGTAAGAGGGTGCAATTGCACTCCCATTCTCCTTATTCATGGGTTTTTCATAGGCTGGCGATCATGAGAACAGAACACTGGATTAGACAAGCTTTTGCTCTGAATCAGCGTGGCTTTTCTTATGCTATGTCTTCCGACCTGCAGCTCAAGATACAGTATGAAGTTAGGATTGTGAGATTATTTACCTGCTAGGAAGCTGGGTTTCTGGCTGAAGAGCTAGAGGTTGGGAGTTCGATTCCCTGCCTTGCCTCCCCTAAGAGCCAGCCTCTGTAGCCTTCCCACAAGAAGGAAATGCGAAGCCACTTCTGGACACTCTCTATCTGGAAAAGCCTGAAAAGGGTTCCCATAAATCATAATTGACAACATACTCACACACAGGGAGAGAAAGAGCATCCAGCGTGCACAGTTCTTAGCATCTAGCTCTGAAAGCTACTTAGGAAAAACTAGTAACTGCAGGCATCAAAGCAGCCAATCTAACACTGAAGAACCCCGTTTTTACACTAGCACACACTCACTCACACAAAGGAAAACTACAATTTGCACAATGCTCTGCTGTTTAGGAGCCGCCCATTGGCTTTCGCAAACGAGAGACCTTGGAAAGCGAAAATAGAAGAGACGCGAATGACTGCCAAGAATCCTGGCAATGGGGCGGCGCATCAAAGCGGAAAGGCAGAGAGGAGAGCCACCGAAGGCTGGGTGTTTATATAGAGGTGGTTCTGGCTCCTGTTTGCAATTTATAGTTTTTACCAGGGAAGAGAAGGGGAGTAGATAGCGGGCAGTGAGAGGTTAAAGTCCAAAGAATTGACAGATCAAAGGGTCCATGCCTTTGCAGTGCCTTCTACTGCCCTAAATTGAAAGCAGATAGATACGTTTTTCCATAAACCAATTCATTATATTTTGAAAACTGTTTAATGACGTGGGAAAGAAACATGCAAGGGTGCTTTGCTGTATTCTGTATTTTAATCATGTTTACTGTGTGTTTTGTTGTTGTTGTTGTAAGCAGCTCAGAGTGGCCCTGAGCAGTATGAAAATTAAATAAATAAGACAGATTTCAATGTGTTGGTCACTTTAGTCTGGTTCAACATGTAATAAGGTAGCTCAGTGGTTTAAGCATTTGGCTGCAGGGCCAGACATTGGGAGTTAAATTGCCCACAGTGCCTCCTTCACAGGGGCTGGACGAAATGATCCATTGGTCCCTTCTAGCTCTGCAGTTCTAAGATAAGAAAAGCAAACATATTTTAGCACCTTAAAGATCAAAAGATATATTTCAGTTTTAGAAGAGATAGTTATGTTAGTCTGTGATAACTTATCAAACCAAAAAGAAAACGAAAAGAAAACAACTGATTTATTATTTTATTCATTTCTATACTGCACCATCTAGTGGCATGCTACTACTTTGGGCAGTTTCCAGCAAAATCATAAGCAGAAGCATAAAGAAAACAGCCACCCCCACTCCACAATAATATTTTTTAAAAATTACTTATGGAACACACAGGATGGCAGTCCCAGCCAAAAAGTAATAAATGTAGAAAATTGAATACAAAAATTAAAAATAACAATGGCAAAGGAAGAATGTCCTGTAATGCCTCTCTGAGCAGCACAGGATATTGCGCTTTCTAAATGTAAGAAGGGTAGGGAGCTGGTGCACCTCTGTAGGTAGCGCATTCCACAGAGAGGTGGCCACCACCAAGAAGTCTCAGTTCCCGGTCAAAGATTTACTGCCTGCAATGCCCTCAGCATCAGACTGACACCTGGACATACTCAGATGGGTGATAGATCTTAGGGATAGGACCTCTGACACGTATCAAACTCCAAAACTCCCATTCAGGACTTTATATGTAAGCATTAGTGCCTTGAATTTGGCACAGAAGCATAGAGGCAGCCAATGCAGGTGAGCCAGGACTGGGGATATAGTATCGTATCTCGAGGTTCCAAACATCAGCCTGGCCGCTGCATTCAGCTGCAGCTTTCGTACTGCCTTCAGTAGTCAATCTTAGAGACTACCTATATGTGAATCAGTGTTAATAGGGACTTCCTGTCTAATTAGGACTGCAAGTGTGCAATCCGCCAAAGATGGAAAAAGATAGACCTGGCCACAGCCAAAATGTCTCTCCATTGAGAGGGCCAGGTCCAGAAGCACACGGATTATGAACATGGTCCTCAACGGGGAGTGTAACACCATCCAGAGCAGGAGAAAGCCCCTTAACTGATCAGGGGTCCCTTCTAACAACAAGCTCTCAGTCTTGTTGGGATTTTATTTCAGCCTCGTCCAGTCCATGACTGCGGCCAGGCAGCACTCTAACGTCGGCACAGCTTCCCCTAATGATGAAAAGGAGAGCTAAAATTGTGCGTCATCAGCATGTTGATGACATTGCACTCCAAATCTCCAGATCACCTATCCCGGTAGCTTCATATAGATAGATGTTAAACAGCATTTGGGAGATGATCAACCCCTGTGGGACGACTCCACGCTGTAAGACCCATGGGTTCAAAACAGCATCTTCAAGCTCTATCATCTGGACATGGCCAAAAACAAACCAGGGCAAGAATAATGCTAGCCCCTGATCTCCAGATTTGCTAGGCAGTCCAGAAAGATGCCATGGCCAACAATATTAAAAGCTGCTAAGGGATTCAGGGCGACCAACAAGGTTACACTTCTTCGGTTGGCATCCCTTCAGAAGTCATCCAGCAGAGCGACTGGAATTGTCTTAGTCCCGTGGTGTGGCCTAAACCCTGACTGAAATGGATCTTGGTGTCCTCCAAGAGCGTCTGCAGCTGATCTCCCACCACCCCCTCAATCATTTTTCAAAGAACGGTATGTTGGCAACCAGACGAAAGTTGTTTGAATCGCCCTTTGCCAAGGTGCTCTTAAAGACTAACTGCTGGATTTTAATGTGAGTTGTTTCGGGCAAGGCCACTCCCTTGGATTCATTTCACTGGGAGCTTTGCTACGAGTGTTCCTGGTGGCAATTCCCACCTCTGAGAAATGACTGGAGAATTTCTCCTTCCCCTGAGAAATTCGGTGCAGTGGTGCCCACAATTCCCTACCCGCAGGCAGAGCGACTACAACTCCCATAATGCCCAGCCAGCAATGGCATGGGCTATTCCAGGAGCTGTGCAAGCTCCACTTGTAAAGCTGGACTACCCGTCCGCCCCCCCCCCCGCGCGCTTGACGCCCTCGCGTTGTTCCATACAAAGAATGAGGAAGCGCCGCAGCTTCGCCTCCGCCGAGCGCCCGGAGGGGAGACGCGCCACCGCCGAGGGAGGCGCCGCCCGCTGGCCTTCTGACGTCCCTTCGCCCCGCCTGTGCTGGAGTTTTCCGGCCCGCAGCTACGCCGTGTGGGCCGGCGAGGGAAGCGCAGGCCGGCGGTTCGGGTGCTGCGGAGTGCGGAGTGCGGGGACGGCCCTGCGAGGAGGAGGAGGAGGAGGAGGATGAGCGCCGAGTCCCTGACGGTGGACTGCATCATTCACATCTTCTCCTACCTGGAGGTGCCGGAGCTGCTCCTAGCGGCTCAAGTGAATAAGGTACCTACTTGGCCAGCCCCCGGCGCTACCGCTGCCCCTTCCCCGCCCCTCATCCGCTTTTGTCCCTGGCGGGGGAAAGATCCGGGGTGCCTCGTCCCCTTCCCTGCCCGCCTGCTCCCTCCCCAAAGGCGGGAGCAGCGGCTCCCTATTTTCTAAAAAAAATAAAATAAAAGGCCCCGCACTTTCGCAACGTCTTCGGGGATGGGGGGGAAATGAATAGGCTTTTCCGATCGGCTGCAGCTCCGTGGGCAGGGCCGTCCTTTCCCTTGTCCCTTCTTCTTCCTTCCTGTCGAGCTGGATCCCTTCCTTGGCATGTAAGAGTAGGGGCGACAGGAGAAGTCCGGGTCCCGAAAGAGTACGGACACAAGAGACGCGGCCAAAGGGTGCGTGGGTCGTGGGAGTGGAGCGGCGACCCCGCGCCCTTTTTTTTTTCTCTCGCGGGCAGCCTCGCGCTAAAGCAGTTCTTGATAGGACTGCGTGCAGGATTGGGCACCCGGCGACGACGGAGCAACCAGGCGCGTTGATGGACCGGCGAGAGAGAAAAAGCGAAGGGGGTGGAAAGGCACCTCCCGCTTCCGGGGGCCGAGGGGGCTTTTGTTTGCCTGCCGGCCCCACCTCGGTTGCCTTCGAGTTTGACTCAGGGCGGGAGGGGGCAGCTACAGGACCTCCCCCCCAGCGAAGACTAATGATTTTACTCGGTATGATCTTTAGTGGATCAAAATCCACTTCCATACACTAAAGAAAACGGTTAGTCTTGAAAGTGCTATATTTCACCTTCACCTCCGCCTCCCTCCGCCCAAACATGACTACTGTACTTCTTTGGAAATTCCCTATCAGTGTAGCTATGTCTTTTGGAATCCTAAATTCATGGTTTTGTAAGAACTTTAGAATTTCCCCCTACAAAGCCCTTCTGGCGTGGTACAAGGGAGAGCAACAGAGCTTGCTAAAAAGATACAGTAGTTCTGAGTACTGCACCAAACTCTATATGCCTAGATAGAGCCATGATAGTTAAAGTGGAATCAAACAGCTACAATTGTGTAGCATAGATGTTGTTGTTTAGTCCGTGTCCGACTCTTCATGACCCCATGTACCAGAGCACACCAGGCCCTCCTGTCCATCTCATCCTTTGGGATTGGCATGTAGACGGATCTTTTCCAATCCTCTGGCCACTGCTGAATTTTCCTATAAGAAGTTGATGATCTTAGCCACAAGCAACTCCAGGTCTTGTTTTTGCTGACTTTATAGAGTCTCTCCATCTTTGGCTGCAGAGAACATAATCAATCTGATTTCAGCATTGCCCATCTGGTGATGTCCACGTGTAGAGTCCCCTCTTGTGTGGTTGGAAAAGAGTGCTTGTGATGACCAGCTTGTTTTCTTGACAAAACTCGAATAGCCTATACCCTCTTTCGTTTTGAACTCCAAGACAAAACTTACCTGTTGTTCCTTTTATCTCTTGACTCCCTACTTTAGCACTCCAGGCTCCTATAATGAGAAGAACATCTTTCTTTGGTATCAGTTCTAGAAGGTATTGTAAGTCTTCATAGAATTGGTCAATTTCAGCCTCTTCAGCATCAGTGGTTGGTGCATAAACTTGTATTATTGTGATGTTGAAAGGTCTGCCTTGGATTTGTATTGAAATCATTCTATCATTTTTGAGATTGTGTCCCAGTACAGCTTTTCCCATTCTTTTGTTGACTACGAGGGCTACTCCATTTCTTCTACAGGATTCTTGCCCACAATAATAGATATGATAATCGTCTGAATTAAATCCGCCCAATCCTGTCCATTTTAGTTTACTGACGCCCAGGATGTCACTATTTATTCTTGCCATCTCCTATTTGACCAATCCAGCTTACCTAGGTTCATAGATCTTACATTCCAGGTTCCTATGCAGTATTTGCAGCATCAGACTTTCCTTTCACTTCCAAGCGGGTTTGCAGCTGAGCATCCTTTCGGCTTTGGCCCAACCACTTCATTAGCTCTGGAGCTACTTGTGCTTGTCCTCCCCTCTTCCTCGGTAGCATGTTGAATGCCTTCCGCTCTGAGAGCTCATCTTCCAGCGTCATATCTTTTAGCCTTTTGTTTCTGCCCATGGAATTTTCTTGCCAAAGATTCTGGAGTGGCTTGCCAGTTCCTGCTCCTGGGGGATCGCGTTTAGTCAGAACTCTCCACTATGACCTGTCCATCTTGGGTGTCCCTGCATGGCATCACCCATAGCTTCTCTGAATTTCTCAGGCCCCTTTGCTACAACAAGGCAACAATCCATGAAGGGGTAGCATAGATACTATATTATTATTCAATATTATTATTATCATTCAATATTGTTGTGATGACAGCAGAATTCAGCATTTTGTAAGCCAGCTCAAAAAATAGGGTGCCCCCCCAAAAAAAACATTAATACTTGTTGAGAAACGGCCCTGACCATTGTTTTGTGTTTGGTTGAGAACTGGTTAAGTGATGAAATAAGCAGACAGCTTCTGGGATTTTCCCTTGTGTGGTGTCGCTTTGTGAACAGTAGTGAGCAGAAGAGAGTAGACCATCTTGACTGCTTTGTTGGTGTTGTCACCATTCAGACTACCGTTTGCTATATAAAGCTTGGCATCCTTTTTCCTGCTGGCAATGCAGGCACAATATTGTGCAGCAACACTGGGACATTTCCTGGATTTTTGAATCATGGGTACAGAAACACAATATCCCATATTCATAAACCAGAGGTTTTTTTAAAAAAAGAATATATGTATTAGGAAAGGCTTCATCAGATGAATGGTTATACCAGCAATATTACCAGTAACATTATCAATGTGTCAGTGATTCATATCAGTGTTTAAGGCAGAAGTCTTAGAATGGTGAATGTGTGTGGGTGTTCATCTGTGGGTGAACAGTAATTTCCATGGTCCCTCTTCCCCAGATTATACAGGCTGGATCTAATAGCAGATGTAGTCTAGCAACAGAGGGACCACTCTGTACCCACCCAAGCGTCTTTTTTTCTTGAAATATTCTGCAGTAGCAAAGTGTGCTTAAACTATCTCATGCATGCTTGTCTGGTAGTAAACGTGATTAAATACTCTCGGACTAATTAGTTGTTTCTGACTCAACAGACAACTCTACTGTATGAATTAATGACCTGCACAAGGTCCTATTGTTAACAACCCTGCTCAGTTCTTTAAAAGTAAAGGCTGTAGTGTCCTTTACTGCAGTGGTCCTCAACCTTGGGCCTCCAGATGTTCTTGGACTTCAACTCCCAGAAATCTTGGCCAGCAGAGGTGGTGGTGAAGGCTTCTGGGAGTTGTAACCCAAAAACATCTGGAGGTCCTAGGTTGAGGATCACTGAGTCAATCCATCACAAGTTTGCTCTTCTTCTTTCTATCATTAGCCCTTTCCCAACAGTATTGCCTTTTCCACCCAGTTGATTCTTCTTGTGATCTATTCAATTAAGGAGAATCTTGCCATTTTATTCTAAAGTAGCCCAGGAGCTTACTTATGTGTAAAAAGGCACATGACTGAACTGTATAGGTGCCAGGAATTCCTGCAGATTCGAGTCTTGAAGGCATCTATTCTGGGAGCCTTTTGAAACTGCTTCTAAAAGCCGTTGTTCTTTCCCCTTTCAGACATGGAACGAAGCAGCAGAGACCACATTTCTTTGGAGGTGAGTACTTCCCTCTCACCTTGCTTTTAAGAAATATGAAAGCAAAGCATTTGAGGTTGTACACCTTCCTCTTCCCCATTCTTAACATCAGTTGCTGGGGAGCATGTGTAGAAGGTTACCACTGCCCTCACCTCCTGCTTTTGGGGTTCTTAGAGGCATCTTACTGGCCACAGTAGGAAACCGGATATTGGACTAGATAGAGCCTTTGAGAAGATCCAGCAGGGTCTTCAAGAAGCCTATAAACAATATGTTAGAATAAAAGCCCTATCTTGTTATTATTCCCCAGCTACTCAGAAACATGGGTATACATTGGAATCAAGGGAGGATGTTCCCTGCTGACTCCCTATTTATTTATTATTTTAATTTACACACACACACACATTGTCGTAGTGGTATGTACTGTGCGTCTGAATCAGGCTAACTTGCTACTGTGCAGCTTTGCTTCTCCCTCACTGGAAAAAAAATCATGTGGAACTCTTAATCAAAGATTATAGGAGGAACTAGAAAAAAATTAAAAGACAGTTGTGAAAAACAAAAACTGGTCTCTGCATGAATCAGAATTTTGACTGAGAGCATGGAAAGGAAAGGAAATACTGTATATCTATCAGTGTTGTAAATTGTTAGCATTTAAATATATAAACAAATGTGTAAGTAATATTGTCTCTGTTAATGTTAATAGAAATATGTGTCTAAGACGATGGGCTTTTTGCAATATATCTGTGATCCCAGGAATGCAGACCTGGAAAAAGTACTACCTCCATCGCTCTAATCTTGAACACAAGATGGCATCGGGAAGGCCTTCAGTTGACTATACATGTAAAGCTCTGCGAGGACATAAAGGTATGTGAAGTGCAATAAAAAGTCTAGCATTTAAGTTGCTGGAACAGAATACACATACTGTCCTTCCTAGAAGTGCACACTATGACCTATTTTACATGTCACAATAAACCATGATTCCTCTTGTAAGCAATTGTGGTTAAACAAGCCATGTACCTTTTCTCCATGATTTATTTATTGTGATATCTGATCACTCTAGCTTGTTTCTCCTTGCAACAAGCAAAAATAAAAATGTACAGCAAACCATGGTTTACTTCTCTGTCTTGTTGAGGAAGATTAAACTATTATAGTAGATCTGGATGTCACGATAAACCATGGATGTTGTGGATAATTGGCAATTCCTTTTTGGTTAGCAGAGTACAGTATCAGGTACAAATAACAACTGCACAGAGAAAGCATAAGAGAATAGCTCAAGTCTCAGAGCTCCCCCCCTTCACAGTAACAAACACTTTATATGTTCAAAATCACCCTGGAAGCATTTCAAGTAGAAAAAGGGGGAAAGTATCTTTACTTACAATTGCAATCAATAGTTACCAACAAAAGAATAAAAGGAAGGCTGCAGTCTCCACACATGTGAAAAACTGCCTCAATAACCGCATGGTCAAGATTGATCAGGAGCAGAGATGGCAAACAAAGCAAGCAAGACAAACAGGAAGAAGAGGGGCAGAACTACTGGACTTTTTATTATATGCTGGAGGTGGGAAACAAGAGTTCTGCTAATTGGTTAGTGGCAAAAAGAGACAGTCAGCTTGTAAGAGCTCCCTCCTATTAATACCCAGTGTTAATTGCATGAAAGATTGTTATTATTCCAACACTTCAAGGTTTGTTTGTTTGTTTATTTTATTTTATTTTATTTGTACCCTGCCTATCTGGTCATTGCGACCACTCTAGGTGGCTTCCAGACAAATAAAAATACAAAAAACAAATACATATAGCAAAATAAAAAATATATAAAGCAATAGACAATAAGCAATAAGCAATAAACATATACTTCAAGATGGCAAGATGACAAAGAATAAATGGAGAAAGAAGAATTAAGTATTATCTGGAGGGAAGGTTTGCTTAAACATCCAAGTTTTTAGTTGGGTCTTAAAAATACCCACACAAATCTCTGGAGGGAGGTTGTTCCATTTCCGTTATAAAATATTGGCAAACTAGTATTCTCATGAAGTTTTATTTAAAAAACATTTGAGAACAAAGACCTAAATCCAATTACTTAGTCCAAATCAGAGTCGATTGTTAAACTAGTCATTGAATCATAATAATGTAAATTCCATTAATTAAATTAATCTTTCTTAATAGGATTACTAATTGGATTCAGGCTCAATTGTACCTTGAGACTAGGGAATCCAAGGCAACATTATTTTCAACATTTGTCATAGCCTGTCAAAACCTGTTTTAAACAACAGTTTGGTATGAGAGCAGCCAGTTAGCAAAGCCTATACAGTGGTGCATCACTTGACGATGATAATCCGTTCCGTTCAAATCGCTGTTAAGTGAAATTGTCGTCAAGCGAAATTTAAAAAAAATTGAAATGCATTGAAAACCGTTCAATGCGTTCCAATGGGCAAAATACCTCATTGTGCAGTGAAGATCCTCCATAGGGCGGCCATTTTCCGGTGCCTGTTAAGCGAGGAATCTGTCCTAAAAACAGCGGGGAGCCATTGTGCACAGTGGGCGGCCATTTTGCAACCCACCAATCAGCTGTTTGGAAATCATCGTAATGTGAACAATTGGTTCCCAAAGCAGGGAACCGATTGTTGTGAGGTGAATTTTCCCTATAGGAACATCGTTTTGCGATCGCAATAGCGATCGCAAAAAACCATCGTAAGGCGGATTCGTCGTTTAACGAGGTAATCGTTAAGTGAGGCACCACTGTATACAGCATGGCAGTTGTCTCAGCCATTGTTTTCTAAAGTGGCCGACATCGTGAAGCATGCTCATTTGTAGGATCATTGAAAGTCAGAGATGACTTGACAACACACAAGAACAATATAAGTATGAATTATCATCAAGCAGTTCTTTGATTTATACTATACCTGTACTAATGACTGGACTCAAACTATAATCATTGGCCAAAATCCTGTACCATAACAATGGTACAGGATAGGACCAAAGGATAGTGTCTTAAATTGCAGCAGCTAATTAACATGTCCTCACTTGGCTTCCCCAGTGCTTACCAGTTGGGTTGCTGGGCTCATGAACAAGACTCCAAGTACAGACTTGTTAATAAGCAGCAATTAGCTGTTATGTGTTATGCCCTTTTCCTTCCATTGATATAAATGTGGAAGAGAAATTTGACCATTCTACCTTAAAACTAAATCCAGTGAAATCTATTTCCATGTATATATGTTTAAGAAGAGCCATGAGGAAACATAGCCAGACTGTAGGTGTGAGGATAATGTGTTACATATATGACCAGTGCAAAACACAGATAACTCAAATATGTACTCTATGTGTAATACAAAGTGCAGAAACTACAGTACTGTCCCCCAGCACCATCATCTGGACCTGATCAACCAGGTAGGAGGGGAACCACAGTAAAATGGTGCCTCCCATCCAATTTGTCCAGAAGGACCCTATGGTTGATGGTGTCGAATGCTGCTGAAAGGTCCTGGAGAATCAATAGGGATGCATTGCCCCTTTCTCTCTCCCAGCAAAGGTCGTCAGAGCGACCAAGGCAGTTTCCATCCCATAACCTGGCCTGAAACCTTATTGAAATGGATCTAGATAATCCGTTTCATCCAGGAGAGCCTCGAGCTGCCCAGCCACCACACGTTCCAACACCTGGCCCAGAAAAGGGAGATTCGCCACTGGTCGATAGTTGATCACTAGACCTGGGTCAGATTAGGCATTTTAGGAGTGGGCGAATCACTGCCTCCTTTAATGGGTCAGGGACCACTTCCTCTCTTGAGGAGTTGATGACCTCCAGGATCCAGGTGCAACCCCCCCCCCCCGGCAGATTCCTTTGTTACCCATGATGGGCAAGGGTCGAGTTGCAAAACGCTTACCAATCATTGCAAAGTGATGTTTTCCCACTTAAAACATCGTTATGCAATCGCTTTTGTGATCGCAAAAACTCAATCGCTATGCAGATTTGTCATTAAACAAATCGCTCGTTAAGCGAGCCACCGCTGTAGTGGCAGAGTGTCCAAACTTTACCAGGAAATGGTCCGACTATTGAGAGTTAATTTTTGATAAGTGGAGTAGATTCTCTCTTGTGTACTGTGTATATCTGAACTCCTTTGCAATTCAAGATGTAGGCATGTTTACCAATTTAGCACTATTCTAACACTATTGAGAATTACTCTGAACATTAGATAAAACCAGAAAGCAAGTATCCTCCAGATAGCTAGTTCAGTTTTCATGGTGAAATGGTGGTCATTCTTGTAGTGCAGCTGAAATGAACTTGCTATTCAACTCCCAACATGTTTTTGATTTCTAGAAATTATGATCCAAACAAGGTAATTGTTTCTCTGAAATTTTGTTATAGGCGTGATAAATGCTATGGCTTACCTGTCAGAGAATGAGCACACATTTGCAACAGGAAAGGTCAAGTCCATTATGTGCACCACATCTTCTGATGGCACTGTCAGAGCGTGGAATGTCCAAGAGGTAGGATGAAAGGGTGTGTGTAAGACGAATGCCATGATCCTAAATGTAGCAACATTTCAGATGCATGCAAATAAATATATATATATAAAATATATATATATATATAAAAAAAATATAAAAATAACCAGCTTGCACTAATGTTATTTGCTCAATTACTACGTATATTTATAGAGTGCTGTTGTGTCAAAATCAGCTTGCACTGTTATTTGCTCAATTACTATATTTATAGAGTGCTGTTGTGTCAAAATATTAAATGCAGTTTATATTTTAGAAACTTGCTTTTAAGAGGCAGAATTCTAAATGTATGCGAGGGAGGAAGAAAGAAAGCCCATCCAGGTACCCTACATTTTATATTGTTACATAATGAATTTACATAAGACCAGGTAGAGTTGTCACTACAGCAAACAATTCTGGTAGAAGAGGAGCAAAATGGGCAGATGGTTCCAGATACACAAGTGGAAAGTTGTTCTGTCTCTGCCTAGTAGAATAGTTCCTAATGAAGACTGTTCTGCAAAATGGAAGGTATAGATGATTTTAGGTGGGTGGAATGGAGAAACAACCCAGAAATGACTAGGCTGAATAACCCTGAGTGGGCATCATCCAGATATGTGAGGCTGCTGCTGCCAACAAGCATGGCCAACAAGATACTGGGAACTTTGTTTAACACAGTGGGAGAGTGCTGGATTGCAGGAGATGGCTAGGCCAAGGAAAAGGATGTAGAGGATGTTTATGCAAAGAAGCAGAAGTGATCTTTGTCCAGCTGGCGTCTTCTGTGTAACAGTAGACACATAAACATGGCCTTAAAATTGCCAAGAGTTGAATAGTCTTCACCAGGAAATTCCTGTAGATGGAGCAGTGCACAGCGAGGGTGTGATGTGCATTGGAATCAGTGTATTTCATGAATTGATGGATTTCATATTAAACATGTCAAAATGGAATGTTACTTAGGACAAGATGTGTGGGTGGTACAAATTATTTGCTGTTAATTCAGATACAAGCTATGTGAACAACTGCAGATGAAGAGCAAAACTGGTGCGGTAGATAACATTAAATGGAAGGGCAAAATAATAAAATTAAAACTCTAGTTGTGTATTTTTAAGGCTGTTAGTATGATAGGAGAAAGGTACTGTTTTCTAGCGGCATTGCTACTTCATAGAAGCTCAGTTTCACAATATTGTGCTTTTTGTGCTGTTGAATGTCATGGCTGTTGACCTCTGGTGTTGCTTACGGTGGTTGCACTTCCACTATTCCACATATACACTTGTGGTGGGCAAAGTGTTGCACTCAAGATGTTGCCTGACTGCAACTCCTTGCATGCCTTACTGTTGGCTCTACTCACCAGGCCTGATGGGAGCTAAAGTCGAAACACCTAGACAGCTACGCTTTACCCACACCTGATGATATGCTGGGAGGTTTTAATATTTTTCTAGTTTGGTGCCTCCAGAATGCCAACCTGGTCTCTCCATCCAAATCCAAGGAAAATGTTTTCTATTTCATCTCACTATCTGGTGTTGATAGGGTCAAGTGCACTCAGTTAGTTGAAAAGAAGATCGGACAGTACGGATTCAGTTTATGCTTCAAGGTGACTACATTCCCATTAATAGATTCAGGTTCACAATTTGGAACTGATTCATCCCTGAACTTGAATGATTAGGTTTCAGCAGTGCCCAGGTTATGGACAGTTGAGGCTTGACTACCATTCCCATTCTTGGACATTTTGTATCTAGTCAAAGTGACACATACCTAAATTCCATCCTGTGGGGACTGCTGGGGTGTATTGTATATGGGTTACCTTTCAAGAGTGTTGTGACCAGGAATGGCTAGAGGAAGCCTGTGAAACCTCTTAATAACAACTTAATGGGCTAACACACTTTGGTTGCCTGCCTGACGTTAGTCTCATCATCATGGAAAGAATAACCTGATGATGATGCAATAAAGTGTCTTTTTGTAGCCTCTCAGACAAATTCATTTTACTTTTAGGCAGACTTTTGCCATGTAAGCTAGTCTGTTGTTGAAAGGAAAACTCAGGTGCTGGCTTTACCTCTTATTTACTGGTGTGTTTTTCTTTTTACTTGACTAGTCTTTATATTATAATTAGGATTTTGTTTCTAATTTTCTATTCTGTTGTGTTTTTTTTTTAAATGGAAGGGCAGGACATAAATACAATAAATAAATGGTGACAGGTTCCAAAAAGGTAAGGAGGGATTAAGGAAATGATTGGGCAACTTCTTCTAAAGCAAAACATTGCTATTGCATTTCCCTTTTCAACAAAGGTGGCTAATAAGAGTAGAAACTAGAACATACATTGTCATGGTAATGTTTAATATTTAAAAATGCACACCAAATTCAGACCATACACTAGAAGGAAGTTCACATTTTAGAAAAATACGTATCAGCTGGCACAATTTTTAATTTGTTATTATTTTTGTCAGGGTACACAGATTTGGTCAAGTCTACAACAGGAAGCCCCACTCATAAATATTATCACATTTCCTTCATATAAGCGAGCAGCTACCATAGACTCTCAGGGGATGATCAAACTCTGGCATGGAGATACGGGGGTACAGCTTGCTACATTTTCGGTGTCATCCACAGAATGCTCTATGGTTGGCTACACGATTGACAGTAAACCATTCCTGACGGTGAGTACAGCATTAACTGAACTTCCCAACAGGTGCCCTGTGGTCAAATACCTACTGAAAACAATGCATTTCAAAGATGCAGAAACATAAGATTTGATCAGATCAGGGTCTCCTTGTACCACAGGTATTAGAGGACTTACATAAAATTGGCTGTTTACTGGTGAACAATTCTGCTTTTTGTCCAACTCCAAGGTTTGGCAAGGAGATTTAAGAAGCCTATAGTATCTCTGAAAATGCTGAATCATTAACCACATTTTTAAATGCCTCCCTTTGGTTTAGGTAGGCACTGGACAAGGTGTACTTTACACATTAGGAGCTGCTGATCTCAGCCAGATTTTACGCTCAAAAGTCTTTCAGACTGGTGGCATAGACTTGTCGCATTGTTCACCAGATGGGCAGTGGATTGTTATTTGCCCAACAGATCCTGCCTGTTCACTCAAGGTAAAGTTATGCTAATGTGTATTTGGTGAGTTTTAGTTTTCAGCCAACACCTTGATGAAGGGAAACCTTGCAATCTTGGTACACAGGAAAGACTCCTAACTGCTGCTCAGTCAGCAGATTAACTACTAGTTCTTTTTACTGGGCTTTCAAAAGCCTAAGAAATTCCAACATCTCAAATACAATCATGTATTTCACATACTAATCCAGTCTGGGCCTGAGAACATTCAAACTATCAAGTCTGGAGCATGAACCTCAGATTCAGTATTTGTCCTTCTGCTCTTTTTGTTTTCTTTTAAATCCAGTTGGTTAATTATGAAGTGCAGGTGCTCTTCATGGCAGTCCTCCTGGCTGTACAAGAATCCAAAATATGTAGCAAAGACAAGAATCTTGTGCAACCTGGAAAACTCAACTTTTCTTTGACAATATAAATATACACCAATTCCTCTAATTTAGTTTAAGCTATCCTTCTGGAAACTTCTTAAGGAAGAATTACTGCATACATATGTGCCAGATACCATTTCTCATTTTTCAGTTCTAGAAATGTGGTTCTTAACAGTGGCCTAGATGCAAAGAGCCATGCTACTAACTTCACCCCCAAGCTGGCACATCTAAAACACAAGCTTCCAGTGCCACTTAAGCAAATTACTTTCAAGTGACAGTCATAGGCCCTCTGAAACTAAATGTTGAAAATAGCTCAAAACATAGCTTAGTGGTAAAGATTCCAGGTTTCATTCTTGACATTTCCAGACACAGCTGGTGAAAACATTCACCTACTCTTAGATAATCGTGTATAGACAATACTGAGAAGGACCAATGGCAGTTTCCTATCAAGTTATGCTCAGATGAAATCGGAAATAAAAGTCCTACATGGGAATGTCCAAGTACACCTAAAATGGGTTTATGAATCCTTTTTTGTTTGTTTTTTGTATACCAGGTATTTTACACACATTGTGCAACCAATCCAGATGATGAATTGATGTTATCTAGTCCTTTACCAGTCACAGATCACCGACTTGTCACCTGCTGGTTACCAGCTGAACCAGCAAGAATAGCCATAATGCATGATGATGGGATGAATTTTCGTATTGTGAGCTTTGATATAGTCATTGAGAAGAAGTCAAAATATAAAAGAAATATTGTAGGTACTTATCTCCATATTATTGTAACAGCAAAAGTGAAGGCATTCTGCTTATCCTTTATGTAGTAGTAAAAGTAGGAGGCATTCTAAAGTGACATTTTTCCTCTAAGTCACTCATGCCAAGTATCCAATATTAACAGTTGTTTTCAATCCTTTGCTGATACTCCATAGGTAAAACCTGTTTCAATAGCTTCCCAATTTTAGAATAGTATACTGTAGTTTCTTAAGTTTCTGTACCTTTTAAAAGGTACATTAGTTTGACAAAATCTGGGTCTGGTCAGTGGTCTGTGTGTACAACTTGATGCCTTCCTCCCCCTAGTTCTCTCTCCCCTCCCCTCAAAAAAGTTTGCACCAATTTTGAAAGGCCTTTTTTTAGAGTATCTCATACAGGTCTTGCCCACGTTCTGTGTAGCACAATGTTATTTCACACTGTGCTGATTCTGTGAGGACTTGTTTGTCCCTGGATCCTCTGAGCTTTGGGGAAACAGGTCAGGGTAAAATTTTTCCCATAAGATGACGTAGCTGGTTGAATACCTCAGTGAATTAGGTATCTAGCTACGAAGACAATGGTTGGGAGTTCATTTCCCCCATTCTGCCTCCCAGGAGAAAATATCAGCCTATGGAGCCTTGGGCACACTGCACAGTCCCAGGGTATTCTTGTAAGAAAGTAGTAGTAAATCATTTCTGAGTAGTGTCTATCTAGGAAACCCTGGCAGGTGTTACCAAGTCAGAAATGACTTGGTAACACATACTTTAATAGGTTGGTTTACGGAAAAACTCCCTCTCTCCACACACACACATTCCACTTTGACTATAACTCTCAAAAGATGATAATGAATTAAATTATTAGTATTTAATGCCGCAATACCTGTTAGTTTTGCTTTTGCTATTCACGCCGACATATTAACACATTCAAAACTACCTATTAGAATAATGCCAGAACAGACAGACAACTGCCATTAGTAGTAAACAAAGCCCTATACCCAGTGAGCAATTAGTTCCAATACAGAAGCGGAGATAATGTATAGTGGTGTTGCTGCAGTACTAGTTTGGGGAAAGGTTACAGAAAGAAAGGTGTTCTAAATGTCCTTTTTCTTCAAAAGCTCAACAGGTTGCAAACTTCACATTGCCAACACAAGCACCATGGATGACAGAGAAGATCATGAAAGGATTTGGCAAACAAACAATTCTTATTGCAGCTGGACTGGAGCTGAAATTATACTCCCTGACAGGGACTGAATTAATGGCTTTCAAGGATCATCATAAAATTATTACATCAATCTGGGTGGTATAGTCAAACGCTACTGTTATTATCAATACTTTTTGCACACTATTCTTTATCTAAAAACATTTACCTCCTATTCTTGGTTGCAGGATCCTTTTCATGTTGTCACATCATCAATGGATCTCTCACTCAGAGTATATTCATGGAAAAATACCAACAAATCCCCTTCATTGATTAGTCGTTATCATTTACTGGGAGGGTCACACCGATGGTCAAGGTAAGTTCCCATTAAAAATTAATTTCAAGTTCCCTGTTGTCTCCAATTCTGATCTTTTAAGGTGACTAAATTACTTAAATGTACATTTATTACATTATCTTTCACACAATACCATAATGCAGAGTACCCATTTATCTGTGGGTTCATGACACCTACAGGAACAGAATGGCATTATGCCCAATCTCTGTGAGCAAAGTTGCACCCTACCAACAACTGCTGGTAGCAGTATGAGGAATGGTTGTGGTTCTGGCAACAGTACAATTTAATTCTAGTTCTGTGCCATGAATGATAAGCATCATTACACCATAAAAATTGGTTACACTTCATACATCTCACAAAGCAGGCTTTTAAGGTACCACAAGTCTTTGTTGCTTCTAACATGTAAACTCCACATCAAAGAGTAATACCTATCATATCCACAGTACACATGAAGGGGTTTCAAAGATGACTGCACACTATGCTTCTAGATGCTAATTTGAATGTTTCTGATGTCCACTAATTTCTTAAAATTCAAAGTAGGGAAATATGTTAAATACTTAATATAAAATTATATCATAAAAGCAGCACTAAAAGAATGATAGATGGAAGTTCTGATGTATAAAGAAACTGGATTTGTTTTTTCTTTAATTGAATCTACTCATACAAAACCTCACTTGAGTAAAAGTTCATGGTGCATATGTACTCTTCCACGCATGATCCTTTGCTTTTAAGTCTTGAGCCTGTAATCAAACATACAACCTTATACTGAAACTAGGCAGAGGACCCACTGCAAGCACTAGAATTTAGTGTATCAGCCTACTTTACTTTGTTATCATATATATTAACTCATTAGTTTTAAAGTAGGGCAAAACTAAAAGCATGTTTATGCCAGCATATTATTAACAGTTCCTTAATATAGAGAACATGTAATTTAAAATGCAGTAATGAACAGCATGAATTGGTTCAACATACAAGATTGTTTTGCTGATTACACAAATCTTTTTTTCTCTACTAGTGGGTTTAGAAGTGTGGCTTGCGATGATGTGAGCATCGTTGGCATAGTAGCTGGAACTGATGGGACAGACATTTTAAGAGCATACTCCTTTAATTTGTAAGATTTAACATTTCTATTTTACATTTCATATATTGGTTTTGTTTGTGTCATTTATGTTAAATCAAATCCATCATAAACTGCATTTGCTGAAAATAAGAGCATGCACTGAATTCAAGCTTTGTGATTACTATGTTACTGATAATAAACTATTATATATGAGTGGTGGTCACATGCCTTTTTTCTGATCTTCAGATACAAATAATTTAAACAAGTTCAATCCCTATTATGGACCTAATAGAACCAGTCTCACTCCTTCACAAGTGTGTCATAGATAATAATATATATGCAGCATTTCCCAAATTCTAGTACCGGAACACACAGTGGATACCCAGGAACCCAGAAAATATTACAGAAACATATGTAGAGCTGTTTCTATCCTGGGGGGGGGCAGCAAAAAGAGGGTTATTGCCCAAGGGTGAGACTGCAGCTATTCAATTTTGTCACTGCATTTCACACCTGCATGACAATTGAAAGTTTCAAATATTAAGTACAAAATATTAAGAGATAGCAGACAATTGAAATGTTGAAATCTGCCCTCTCACAGCTCATCCTTGCCTAACAAAACAAACAGAATGATATTTGACAACATTCAGAAAGGAAGCCCACATGCAAATTCACCAGCAATTAGAATAACTGCTGTAGACACAGGGAAAGACATTTAAAAAAAACAGCAAATTACAAAGCAATTTTGGTATACCCAGTTTGAATTTATTCTGCACCTCTTAAATACACAAGAGCCGATATTACTATTGCCTTGTTTGAAACCATCCCTACCTTCTTTCCCACCCAAGATGAACATCTTTTAAATATAGTGATGCCTCGCAAGACAAATTAATTCATTCTGCGAGTCATGTCGTATTGCAAAATTTTCGTCTTGTGAAGCGCGATACTAATGGTTGTGCGATTTAAAATAAACCAAAAAAATATTGTCTTGTGAAGCATGGCCATAGAAAAAATCATCTTGCAAGTAATCAAAAATATCGCAAAACACTTTCGTCTTGCAAGTTTTTCATTGTGTGAGGCATTCGTCTTGCGAGGCATCACTGTACTTTGTTATGACAGAATTCTCTTGGCAAGAGAGCAAAGGATACACGTTGTCCAGTATAAGAAACTTTTAACAGTTCACATGTTATCTGGCTTACTCAAGCCATGGACAAAACTTCATAAGTTCTACAAATTTTATATAACAGCCTAATGGAAGGAAGATTTATATTGAAACTGTGTGATCCTGTTGTAATATTAAAGCCCTAAGAAAGGCAGCAGGTTGTATAGTTAACTCCTTGGGGGCAAAACCACTGCCCTAAAACTATGCAACCTACTACCTCTTCCTAGGAACCCACTATGTCTTCTGCAGTTCTTCCAATAATAAGTATATGAATAATGTGTATAAAACAGCCATAATGAAAAATTCCTTTTCTAAGGACAATGAAAAGTTGAAATAGTTGCATCTTGATTGTAGCAAGCATACTACAGCCTTGAGTATCTAGGGTTAAAATGGCAATATCCATTAAACCTTTTTTAAAAAAACAGCAGTTACTCTATTCAAGCCACATGGCATTTACGTTTGAAATATAGATAAATTGAGAAAATCATGAAGTAATTCACACCTCTCATGTTCTCCCTGTCTGTTCCTTCAGTAGGAACAACTTGCATGAGCACAACGAGCCTTGTTCACTAATAATAATGTGATTGCATCCATGAAGCAGTTTTAGTTATACAGATGAGTTTTCTTCAATATACAAGTTTCAAAAGATGACTATAAACATCAACACTGAATAGTAGCCCTGTCTTTCAAGTATATTTTCCTATATAACAAAGATTCCTGGTCATTTACTAAGAAATACTGCAGAAATTTTACTCCTCAGGGAAGGCAATAGATTGTATAGTTATCTCCTTAAGAGGGCAAAATAACTGCCCTACAACTATACAATCTACTACCTCAACCTGATAAGAGAAATTTAGAATATAATTCTACCTACACTTAATTTGTACTGAGGGTCCGCTTTCCTTTGAGTTGGATCTTGAGAACTTGTTTAACAGAAGAGGAGCATCCTGTCATCTTCCCCATCTGTGCCCCATGAAAATCAGTCCAGAGACCGTCCTCAAGCGTATGGGGACACTGAGCCAGCAACAAGAGAACTGGCCAAAATTGAGCAAGTCACCTTGTGCAGGAAGATTTCATGGCAGTTCCCCACAAGTCCATACAATTCAGGAACATCTATGGCCTTCCTATTTAAAGACACCTCCTATTACAAAAGGATACTGATGCCGTCGATGATTGTCTGCTTCTTTAGGAAAGACAGTAGACTGTATAGTTATCTCCCAGTGGTGGGTATGACCCTAAAACTATACAACCTACTACCTCATCCCACAGTGCAGTATCTACATTTAAGATGAAGATGGCTTTTAAGGATCAGTGATTCTTTTAAGTTTGGCAATTCAAGGACTTCTTCTGAAAACTTTGGCACAATACTCTTCATCCTGCTCCATGCTCAAACCTGAAAGGAGGAAGAAAACTGAATGAAAACCCTTCTCCAGAAGTCCAAATATTATTTCAACAATAATAAAATCTTGTATTATAAGACTACTGTCATGTAAAGACCTAGAACCTTTTTTCTGAATTTGGAGTAGTTAACTCTAGTTCAACCAACATTACCCTCACATTTAAATTCCACATACAAGGATGAGTGCCCTCTCCCCTGCCATTCTTGTCAATCTCTGCAAATGAAAGGCAATTACTGCAAAGGGGAACATTAGCTACTCGTGGAAAATCTCCTTCAGTATTTAGACTCCTTGGGAGGAAGGGATTTTATTATTTCGTTATTTTCTGACATCTGTTAGCACTATATGCACAGAGAACTCTTGATAAAGGCTATAGATTAAAATGATATAGGACGAAAGGAAATGCTGGCAATGAAGAATCTTGCCAATGAACTGGACTCCTTAGTACTACCTGTATTTTGAAATGCAACAGCCTGAATACTGCCAAGCACAAATGGAGGATCAAGTCTTGTGAGAATAGCAATGTGAGATAACATATTTGCACAATCACTGCCAGCATGCAAGCAGAAATCTGTTATGAACTGTAAGTGCAAGTCTGCTTATACTTGCCCAAAGGTATCCTCAATACCTGCTTCTAGCAGTGGTAGAAACATCAAGCCATAGTTACTACATCCACCGCCTAAGTAGTTGGACTACAATATATAGAATGGATTAAGCATACTGTACTTGCCTTTCCCTTGATAGAGACCAGGAACCTGTATAATATACATAGGTTTTAATAACCAATATTGTTGCCAACATTTACAAGTCTCCATGAACTGTAAATCAAAGACGAAAGGATCTTCCCTGCTTAACAGTCAAGAATAATTTATCCCAAATTTTTAAACTGTTGATATTGTACCCAAGTGGAAACAAGTCAAATAAAGAGTGGTACAGCCTGGTACTTCACTGTCTACAGGTGAGAAACGGGTTTGACTTCTTTGGCATTTTTTAATTCTTTAGAATTTGTGTTGTTGTCCCATTTGCCTCAACTTACAACTACATTAGAACATTAGTTCAAATCCATTTTTACATTTTGTAGCTAAAGCAATCAGATTTCCCTACAGAACCTTTTATTGAAGATCAACACATTCAATAAAGAAGAAGCCAACAATATATGCCTTATAGTAAAACAGAGACTACCTGTTTCTACTTCACTCTGTGCATCCCTCTCCCCAAGATCTGCTGGGTTGGAGAACCTTCGAAAGCAGATCAAAGGAGCAGCTCAAGAAACATGGGGGAAGCAGGGAAGAAGAAACTCATTTACATGACATTGGGTATTACCCACTGTTAACTCTTTTACTACATAAAAAGCTAAGTCTCAAACTTACAGATAATTATGCTCAATAGCTGAATTTCTTCAACATGGGAAAAAACCCACATTGAAATGGAAGAAGGAATCCTGCCTATTTGGTCTATACATTAACAAAAGATATATCTGAAGTAAAAATGTTTAAAGCACTGTTGAATTGTTTATATCTAAGTGTTTTCTGAGAAATAACTACCATTTCATGGCGCTGCCTGAGTTAATTTGCAAACCAGTCAGAAGTCATAAACCTTCTGATCAATACAATACTAAGTAGCTGCAGAGAACAGAATGTTGCCTACTGCCCCATCACCAGGTTTTTGTGACTGCAAGATATCTTCCCTTCTGGACTTTCAGCAAGGCACCAGTATAATCACATTCAGAGCACTCCAGAAAACGTAGCAGGCACTTGCAGCACCCCACCTTGCAAGGTAAAAACAGTGCTACTGAGAGAAAAGGTATATCATTCCAATGCACAGGAGGCATTAGCACCCAGGACCTCATGGCATGGACAAAATTTGACTTGACACATTCATTTACTACAATTAAAATTAAATCTAACCAACTGGGGCCTAGCTTGCTAAAGCTTTGCCTCGCCTTAGCATTAACACAATGTCTGCTGAAATATGGATTAAATACTTATACTACTCTTTTGCAGTATGAAATACAGAAACTTAAGTACCTTTCATTCAAAAATTCAAGACCACTGTTGACCCTCCCATAGCACCTACAGCTCAGGTTCTTGTTACACCACAAAACTTTCGTACCCTTAGAGGTGGAAATGTACCAAATACCCTGTATATCATTTTCTTAAGATCTACTTCTGAAAATTGTCCTAAAACTTTAATGCATCACACTACAGTGTCAGGCATACAGAAAAAACAAAATAGATACATCTGCCATGCAGACTGGTTTTTTTAAATCTAAACATTTCTACTGCAATATAGCACTTCAGACTGCACTCTAACAATATAAAATATTTCCAACAGTTCTTCCTATAGCATTCAACTGGCTCTGCAGTCAATTTTTCTCATTTAACATTAATTAGGTCTGTTTTCTACTGATAACATGGCAAATTTCTGGTCCAATCAAGAAAATGGATGTAGCTTCACAATATAATGTTGAAATCTAAATATTAAATCAGATTTTAAAGGTTCATGCTGTCGTTAGTGCGTGCATATTTTAGATTCATATCCCACAAAGCTAATTCCTGAAAGTTATTCTGTTTGGGCTTATTTTTCACTTATCTCCAGAATTACATTCCTTTCTACTTCCTATAACAAGATCTACCAAACACCCCAGTTTCCACCCCTCCCCACAAGACAGACTGAACAATTTGGCAAAGAGTTTCACAAAACTTGTCAAGGATGAACAAGGATTTTAAAAAACCAAAAGCTTTCACAAGCACTTTTTCTTATCCTCTTTAAACCCAGCACATCTGAGATGAAGATTTTCTCTTTCTGTTTTAAAGAAAGGGATATTATTTTTACAGCCTGATGAGATTTGTGTCATACAGTACTGTATAAGGTACATTTCACAAAGGTAAGGCCAAGAATTCATTTTTACCTCCAGAGTATAATCAGGCAGCACTAAAACAGGAAGAATTGTATGGATCAAAAACAAGTTCCTCTCAAATCATAATTTGAAAAACTTAAAGCTTCAGTCATAACATGGAAGCTTGAATCTGAAGATTAAGCAGTGTCAGAAGCTGCAATCCTTAAGAAAGGCAGCAGGTGAAAGAAATACTCCACACACCATTCTAACCTTTGCCCTTCCAGAAAGTCACAACCTACCCTTACTCAGGAATAAGGATCTCTTAAGAAAAGTATGATATAAAATCAAGCAGACCACCACCTTTCAGGAGAACATGGAGGCAATTCAAAAGTTACACCGTTTTTTCCGAAGCATTCTGGCGATACTCGACAACTCCTACAAGTCTCAGAAGCAGCGCCAAATGTTTGCTTTTAAGGGGAGAACCTCTTAAAGACCCGCTTACTGGCCAATAAACCCCGGCTGCCTTTCTCCAAAGGATCTCGGGCCTCCGCCTGCCACAGCAGCCACCAGGGAGAGCGCGCGGGAAGGAAAGGCGCAGCGCCTCGTGGTGAGGGAGCCGCTTGCCAAGAAGGAGCCCACCCTCCTTTTCTTCCTTCCTTTCTTTCTCTCGCTCCCTCTGGCCCTCCCACTCACCCAAGCCGGTCTCCAGTAGGACTCGGCTCCCCTCCGGGCCCGAGGCCGCCCCCGCCACGGAGAGGGACCAGCCCGGCAGCAGGCCTTCCCTCACCCCCCCCCCCTCAAGGGCCCTCCGGGCCGAAGCGTGAGAGCCAATGCGCGCGCTCGGCTCGAGGAGGAGCGCGAGGAGGAAACAGCGACGGTTCTCGGCCGGCAGCAGGCGGGAAAAGAGGGGTGCCTCGAGCGGCGGGGCGGGGCTTAACCCCATCTCGCCT